AAATCATTGAGCAAAGCTGTTGCTTCTCCATAATTTGTGCTACAATCTAAGTGTAGATAGTGTGAAAAAGATCCCCAACGGACCATGATTTTCATGAATTAGTATATGAGTGTTTTCATGAATTAGTATATGAGTGTTTTCAGAGACAAAAACATTTGGTATGCTTATTGAATGGGGGGAATGAAATATAAAGCAAAAGTTTAAAATGTGGAACAGTGGGACAGATCCCATAGATGTATTATGCTAAATCTGCTGCCTGCCTCTAGAACAAGATGCCTTCTTCAATGCAATAAATAGAATGAGGTAAGTATGCACCTTGTGTAATCCAGGTTCAGCAGATATGTCAAACACCATCCTATTTCTATTAAATAGATTCATCCACTCTTCCTTAAATCAAATTCATAATCACATAAAATAAAAAAATAGAAAGATGGATTACATTACATTGAGTTATGTTAATTAAACATCACATTTATTACTAATTGTGATTTTATTATTTGCAGCATTACTTATTCTTGTAAGTTGTCTTGAGCACTCTTGGAACCAGAGAGCAGAGAAAGAGGTTGAACCCAGACAGATTCTTTACTCAGTTTCACCCAAGTCCCCTCCTTATGTTAGCCTCCATGACACATGGTTTTTGCTCATGCAATTTCTGCAATCCCCTTTTTACTCCCTTGTGTTTTTCACCAGTAGAAAAGTTCATTGTATTCAACTGGATAGTATATTATTTTATATTAAAATATTTTACTGCTGATTTTTCTATTATCATATGTTTATTAAGGAGTTTTAAAATAATATTACTTGCTGTTTTATTGATGATAGTTCCCGAATTCAGATATTTTGTTGCCTTTGAGTCTTATGGTCATTTTACAGGTTTTTTTTGTTTGTTTGTTTTTTACTATCACATTGTCTTTGGGACTATTTCTGCTACTTTCCTATTGATTAAGGATTTTTTTTTTGCTGTTTTCTGTCTTTGAAATTGTTTGAGGATGTGGCTAGTATATATATATATATAATGTTCCTCGTTGGTATTTTCATGTAAAGAGGTTGAGATGCCTTGGTTTTTTATGGTTGTTTTTAATGGAAAAAACTATGTATATTTTAAATAAATTAAAAACCAACAAAAGAACATTAGGTTGAAAAGTCAATTTCCTGAAAATGGAATAAAATGACTGCTTAAATTAGATTCTGAAATATACCTAAATTGATCAATTCCCATTCATTACTTACAGTCAGTTACCTTGTATTATTGCCTACATGTATTCATTACAGCAATCAGAACTAATTGGTATAGTTGCAGTCCCTGAATTTCTTTGCCATGTGGAGGTGGCAGCTATCAGGATTCTTTTTTAATACAATCTTTTATCAATGCACATTTACACTTGTACGTGTTCCTGAAAACATTTCAAAATGCAGACTTGATTAAAGCCTAAATAGTCATATCAGGATTGAGTTCTCTAGAGATCCCCCCCAAACAAAATCAATGTCAATGTGAACATTAGTATTGCAGAACATTAAAAAGATGTGAGGCAAATGAAGGAAGGGAGAGCTGCAATCAACTGCACCGTTTCCAATCCAGGAACTGAGACCAGAGTCCTTATAATCCTAAACAGAGTTGCTCCCTTTTAAGCCCAACGACACCATTGGATTTAGAAGGGTATAAGTCTGCTTTGGACTGCAAATAATAGCTAAACTAGCAATGCAAAGTATGGCTGATAGGACAAATTGCAGAAACAAGGCAGAAGAGGAATTCAGTCCCTTACCACAGTTGTGTGACATAGGGATGCTCAATCATTCCCCTATTTGACTGACATGCCACTTGCCCACTGTGGCCAGAAAGCCAATTTTGCGTGTGCAGTTTGGTTGCATGCAAACAGCTCAAGCCTCTTTGTCAGTACACTGTGAAGAATCCCCCTTAAAAGTTTTCCATATTTATTTGCTCTAGCAAATCTGACATATTATCTCATTTTAGAAAAAAATGTTTCAAAATTATTCACTAATAGGAGAATTTATTATGTGTTTTATATCATTCGGTGTAACTCTACCCAGAATTTACCACTGAGGTCATCAAAGCCAATGAATTCTGAGGTTTTCCATTTTTCAATTTGTGGTCAAGATAGAGGGCAACATGACATCCAATTGCACCAGAATATCAAAGTTTATACTAGTTGGGTTCATGGGTAACAAGAATGTGCAGCTTTTGTATTTCATCATCTTCCTCTTTACCTGTCTGTTTATTCTTCTGAGAAACATCACCCTGCTATTCACACTAAAATGAGACTCTAACCTTCATACAACTATATATTTCTTCCTGAGTAACATCACTGTCCTACAGATAAGATACATATCCATCACTCTCCATAAACTCCTGGTAATGTCTTTAGGAAGAGGTAAAACTACCTCACTTCCAGCATGCCTAGGGTAGACAAACTTTTACTCTAATCTGGGTTCTACAGAGTGTTGCTTATTTGCAGTCATGTCTTATGACCATTATCTGGCCATCTGCAATCCTCTACGGTACTCAGCACTCATATGAGACAAAGTCTGTGTCATCTGAGCTTTTGGATCCTGGATTACTGGGTTCCTAAATCCTTCCTAAAGGAATCAGAACAGGAAAAGACAACAAATGATGCTTGAATTAGAACAGGATAGAGAATAAAACTGCTTCTTTCATATTGCCTTTATACACATTTAGGGTGAGATCATCCTTAGAATACAGTTTAAAGTTCTGGTCGCATCACCTGAAAAAAGAACATTGGCCCCGGTCACATAGCAAAGTTGCATGGATGGTGGGTGGATTATCCGGGCACAATCACACCCCAACATCTGGGAAGTGGAGCGCACCCGTGGCTTACCGCCGACAATGCGAGTTAAAAAACTCGTACATCCAAGGTACTAGTAAACGTTTGCCATGGGCTTCCTCCAGACGCCCATGGTGTGATCGTGCCGGTATGCAGCATTCCCCTCCGGTCCCTTGTTTACCCGCTGGCGCCGAGGGAAGGACCGGTGGTGTGTTGCCTGTGCGTCTGATTGTGTAATCGTGGATCAAACTGCGCCGGGGCCATTAGCCATGCCTCCCCTCCTCCTGCGATATCCGGCCCGTGTGACCGGGGCCATTGTAGAGCTTGATATGCTGAAAAGAGTGACCAAAATGATCAGGGGACTAGAGCAGCTGCCCTATGAGGGATGGGTAGAATGCTTAGGACTATTTAGCTTAGGAAGAAAGGTAAGAGGAGACAAGACAGACATCTATAAAATTATGCATGGAGTAGAGAGAGTGGACTGGGGGAAGCTTTTATCTGAGTCCTATAACACTAGATCCTGGAGTCATCCACTGAAACTGAAGGGTGGGAGACAGGCAAAAGGAGTACTCCTTGACACAATGCATAGTTACTGCCATAGGATTTGGTGATGGCTGCCAACTTGAAAAGGTTCAAAGGGAGCAGACACATTCATGGGGCATGAGGCTATTGGTGTCTGCAAGTCATGACGGATATCTATTTCCCTTTAGCACCAGAATTACTGGTTTTCTAAATCCTTGAATCAGTTGCTGGGCAGTGTGGTGGGAGGGTGCTGTTGCAGTCATCCTGCTAATGGGCTTCCTAGGGGCAGCTGGTTGGCCGCTGTGTGAACTGAATGGTAGATTTGATGTGCCTTTGGTCTGATCCAGCATGGCTCTTCCTTTGTTCTTATGATCTTATTTACCCACATGAATTCTTTGGAACAATCAGAACTAATAGGTATAGGATGACTTGGATCCTATGATATTATTCCCCTCCAGTTCCAACTGCTGTAAAAGATAAATATTCTTCCAGGAGCCCTTATGCGTGTGGAAGTGCTAGCAGCAGAGAAAACAAACACCACAATAGAGGAAAGTTCCCACCATGGTTGGAAAGAAGTGTGAAGGGAACAATGTCATTCAAATCCAGCCATTGAGTTAAATAACATAAAATAATGGGCTTTCAATAAATAGGTTATCCAGTATAAATTAGCAACAGGAGAAAATTGCTAATGTCCCATTCAATGCACCAATAACCCTGAGGAAAACAATGGCCATCCTTTGTAAATCTGTAATCAATTTTTAGGGATGACATCCTTGGCCATTGTCCTCTGTCACTTTCTGTGACACATATCAGTTTTGCCCTCTTTCTCTTGCTCCTCTGGTGACTAAACAGGGTGGAAATGACTCCTATAGTAGAAAATGAGTTGTAATCTCCATGCTTGTTTTCCCATGTGGAGGAAGCTGCTACCAAGATTCTTTTATATGATCTTTTACCAGTGCACGTGTACACTTTTATGGATTGATGAAACACTTGAAAATATAGCCTTAATGAAATCTTACATAGTTGTATCACAATAGAGTTTTCTCAGTGTGTGTGTGTGTGTGTGTGTTCAATGCCATAGTGGATATGGATAATGCAGAAGGTGAAAACAAATGAGGCAACTGAAGACTGTGAGAACTGAAGCTAAATGCACATTTTCCCATATAGGAACTGAGTTTAGAAACAGTTCAATCCTAAACAGTTACATCATTTTAATCCCATTGATTGTAATGGATATAGATGAGTGTCACTCAGCTTTGGACTGTACTGCACTGAGAACGTCCTAGCTAAACCATAATTTCAAAGTGTGAAAGACAGGAAGCAAGGCACAAGGGAAATCCATTCCCCCCAGATGTACAGACTAGGGAAGCTGAGTCATTCCCCTGTTCAGGTCACATCCCACTTGCCCATTCTGATTTTGGGTGGTCAGTTTGGTTACTTGCAAGCAGTTCAAGTCTGTTTGCAAGGTGTACAGTTATGAAGGACCCCCTCCCCCCGAACAGTTCACCATTTGTATTTAATCTTGTTTTGCTTTCCTGTAGACTTCACAAATCTGACTGATTATCTCACTTTAGGAATTCAGTGAAACTCTACACAGGATTTACCACTGAAGTAATCAAAGACAAAGAAGACTGAGATTTTTCCTTCCTTCAATTTGAGTTTAAGATGGAGGGAAACATGACATTAAAGTACACAGGAGTATCAAAGTTCATTCTAGCTGGATTCACAGGTAACAAGAATGTTCAGGTTTTGTACTTCATTATCTTCCTCCTCATCTATCTGCTTACTCTTTTGGGGAACATTATCCTTCTATTCATACTAAAGGCAGCCTCCAGCCTCCATACACCTATGTATTTCTTCCTAAGCAACCTTGCTGTTCTGGAGATTGGATACACCTCAGTCACCCTCCCTAAACTCCTGGCAATCTCCTTAGGAACAGCAACGACTATCTCACGTCCAGCTTGCCTAGTGCAGACATATTTTTTCTTCTTCCTGGGTTCTACAGAGTGCTTCTTACTTGCTGTTATGGCCTATGACCGTTATCTGGCCATCTGCAATCCTCTGCGATATTCAACACTTATGTGCAACAGAGTGTGTGTCTCCTTATCTTTAGGATCCTGGATTACTGGTCTTCTGAATCCTTGCCCACCTATCATCATGTTTAGTAGGCTTCATTTCTGTGGCAACATTATCAACCACTTCTTCTGTGATATCCCACCACTGCTCAGCCTCTCGTGCAGCAATACCTACATCCTTAGCACAGCCATCTTCATCAGCTCATTTGTCATAGTGTTAGGCACGTTCCTGTTGACCATGCTTTCATATGCTTGCATTCTGTCCACTCTCCTAAGGATGTCCTCAGCTGCAGGTCGACAGAAGGCATTCTCCACCTGCTCCGCCCACCTGACTGTTGTCTTCCTGTTGTATGGAACATTGATCTTTATGTATGTGATTCCTGCAGCACAGCGGTCAATGGAGATGAACAAAGTGGTATCTTTTATCTACAGTGGGGTGACCCCCATGCTCAATCCCATTGTCTACAGCTTGAGGAATGAAGATGTCAGAAAGGCTTTGAAAAAAATGATGCTAAGGAAATTCAATCCTGCAGTCTTAAGGAACAAAGCAGGCAGGATGCTGAAAGATCCATAATTGACAATCCTGGAGAATCCAAATTTAATCTAGATCCACAATACACGTCAAGAGTTTATTAACATTTTTGTCTGAACTATTTTGCATATCATTGTGGAGGGAAACATAGGGATTGCTGCCTCTAGTCAGGAAAATAGCATAAGGCTATCAAGTCCAATCTCCTCTTTTTTTGTTTCACAACCACAGTTTACATGGGGTCATTCAGCCACCATTTAGAAAGACATATCACACCAGAGATCCTATCATATATCTTCCAGAATGCCCTCTGATTTCATTACTAAAAAAAAGGAGAAGGACTGGATGGTGTGTCTATGTTTATAGACATGGGCTTCAAGATGTTCCCAAATCTCATTTTGAACAGCTTAATGATGATAGGTATGCTTTGCCAAGCTAGTCTTACAGTGGGTCTCTCACTCTGAACTATTTGGAATAAATTGTGTAATAACATGAGTTATTCCAAGCCCAGTCATTAGCTCTTCTAACACAGTGGCACACCCAATGGGGAGCTGGGGAGCATCA